AATCTTAGGATTTAGTCTATATATTTTATTTAAAGTATTCTATCTTCTCTACATGTTACTAATAAACCATAATAGTTTAGTCAAATAGGTTTAATTAACATTGATATTTTTTGGCTTAATCAATCAACTCTTAAATTTCTTTGATAAAATTCATTTGGTTTTAATAGTTTTCATCTTTTTATGCACATTTTTACATTTCTTAGATCATATCAATCAGTTAAATGATTAAATTCTTTTCGACTAAAAAAATAGAAATTTGATACTTGAAATATCCTTTAGTATATCTAATGATTATTAAATATCCTATTAGTCATATTATTGTAATGATTCTAAATGTAATTGAATGTCCTTTTTGAATATCTAATCCTTATTTTTCAAATTTATAATTATTTGACTTTATGAGACTTTTTCTTTATCCTTTTCTTTTTCAATTAATTATTTTAAATCCTTCAGTAATTATTCTTCACCTAATGCTTAAATTGAAATCTTTTTTGTTTGATTTGATTATTTAGTTTTATCTATGCATAAGAACTATTCTGCAATCAATTTATCACTTATTTCATTCAATTTTTTATTATAATTCTTTCTCATATGTGCTATTTAATTAAATAATTCAGTCTTTTTCTCTTTGCTTTCATTTTTGTATTCTTTTAATACCCTTTCACTTTCTGTGTTAAATTCTTTCCATTACTTATCCACATTTTCAATACTTTAATATTTTATTTATGGATTCTCACAAATACAATCAACACATGCAAATCTATCTTCTATTTTCTTATTCTATGAATCTGAATCCATATCAATCAAAATTATCTCCTTTTTATGAATACTACAAATTCTACTTAAACTTGGTGTTTTCTATTAATACTATATAAAATATACAGAATCATTTTTAGTTATAAATGAAGGAATTAATTCAATTACATTATTTTCCATAATATCTTTAATTGTTTCTTTTGTATGCTTAAATGTATCTAATGTCTAGAAGTATTCAGAACTATTTAATAAGAGTTCAAATTGTCTTTGTATTTCATTTATAAAATGATTATCTTCTATTAATTTAGGCGATTTCTATTATTCTTAAGAATACAATTCAGATAGCTATTTAATATCTTCGAAGTAATTTAATTATTATTCAAATTCTTATAATTCTTACTTTTCTTTTTAAATTGGATATATGTATTATTATATTTATTTATACATCTTCTCCAAAGAATCGTCAATTGATTACTTGAAATCCATAATTTAATCTAATATATTTTTATAATAGCTGAGTCTTGCTTGATTCTCTTTAGTTTTGATTTCTTTTTATTAGGTCTTCACTTATTGGATTCTCTCTTTTGATGACTCAATAGTAGTCACTTTATAGTTATTCATTTTCTCAACTAAACATTTACCACAAAAGAATTAGATCTATGCCTTATCTGATAAATCGAAATCAACAGCAATTAATTCAAGATTATGAATTTTGCATATTGTTTCTGTAAACTTCCTATACTTATTTTTGATTTAAGATGTTCATAAATATTATTTAAATTAATTAATGTAATTATATGTCATTTAATCAACCTTTATTTGTCATTACCATTAATCCATTCTAATTCTATCATTGAATTAATATAAAAATAGGTATTATAAAATTTAAAATTAATAATACTAATAACTAGAAATTATACTAAAATATCAAATTCATTAGGGATGCATTACTATATCAATAATATAAATAAATTGCTAATATTAATTTCTATATATTTTAGTTTCAAATTATGGCTCAGAATGACAATATTTGTCAAATTAATAAGGTCTCTATTTACAACTTTGCTAGTGATATTTTTATCAATTAATTTTTATTGATAGTTAACAGTTAAACTGTTTTTGAGTAACTTTTCTAGTTTATGGACTAATGGTAAATAGTTTATGAATATATTAATAAATTTTTACAAAAACACTTTAGAATTGAATATTCATAAAATTTTATCAAACTAATTTTTTTAATGCAATTATTGGGTCTTGAGTAGTTTTGAGGGGTTACATCGTCAGTACTAAAATTTGATCTTGGCCAGTTATAGATTTAAAGAATACTAATTCAGGAAGCAAATGCATTCTTTTGTAATTTATTTTAAACTTTTTTGATACATTCTAATTTCGGTTATAAAATTCCTTCTATTATTAACAAGTTTTAGGAAAATTTCTTTACTCAATATCTATTTTATAAATTAAATATAAATATTCTTACATTCATAAGTTGTGTTGGCAGTGATTATTTTCATTAGAGGAATGTTAAATAGTAATATGAATAAGAAAATTTAATTTTTATTTATTGAAAAAATATTATCGAAATAGAATACTTAGAGGCTTATAATCTTTTTAGGTTCTAATATTTGTATAAAAAAATTAAGTTATTGTATATTTTAACAGCACAAAAACTTGATGTAATAATGCTAAAATTAAAATTTATTAATAAAATTACAAAAGATTGAATAATCATAAACTGAATTAGAATTATACTTATAATTAATCTTCTTATAAATTTAGATCAGAATACAGATTAGATTAAGCCAATCTATTTAATTTTATTATGGAGATGGTTTTAATGATTGAAATTATTTAGCTGTAAACACTAGTTTTAAATAATTTTTGAATTATTTTTATTCATTTTAAAAAGATTATTTTAAGTTTGTATTAATTGTATGGCCAATAGGTCAGAATTAAACCTTGTTATCAAAAATTATAGCTTCCATAAAAAAAAATATAATTTTGTATCAATATTAATTTTTTTATGTAACATAATGTTGTCAATATACAAAAAAAAATTTCAAAAGAAAGTTTCCTTTTAATCCTTGCTGCTCCTATTTATAACATTTCAGAAACTACAAGGAAAATTGAGAAAAAGTTTGGTTCTGACTGGATTGAGGAATTATTGAAATTGGATTACTTCAAAACTAAGTACCTATTAAAATGCATAAATGAGTAGAATATTAAGATTAGTTCCTGTTAAGGTAATAATACTTTAAAAAATTTTTAAATATTTATTATATACCAAACAAAATCTTTAAAATTTTTGATATTATTATCTTAATAATATAATAAATATAATACGAACCAATCATGATTCTGGAATCAATGGTTATCATAAAATAATAACTTATTTTAATAAAATACTTCTATTATTGTGAGTTAAAAATTTCAAATATTAAAAATAAATCAGCTTTTTGTCATAATTCCTTTATTTTTAGTGGTTACATATTTTAATAATTTTGCAAAAATATTAAAAACCTTTAATACTTTTTAAAAAGCATTCATAATAACCTTATTTATGTTAACTCTTGATATATTTGTAGTTAATAATTTTTAATTATTAGCCAGTTCCCTTTCAATATTAAAAAATTTTATAAATTTGTTCTTTTTGTCTATATTTTTAATATATTTTACAAATAAATATAAAAAGGGATTTATATCTCTTTTAAGAAGATTTCAAATTTTAATGGCTTTTGATAGAAAGAAAAAAATATTTTTTCACATTTATCATCCTTTTTCACAATTCAATAACTTATATATTTTTGCATAAATTTAGGCCAGTTTGTAAAATCAATTTGAACGATCATCTTGGAGCTATATTAATAAAAATTGATTGATTTGATAAATAAAAAAAATATTGACACAATTTTAGAATATTAATTTTAAGAAAATGAATCCTAATTAAGAAGATTGGGAGTAAAAGAGAAAGGAAGGTTAATTGCTAAAATTTTTTTAAGAATAAGAAAAACTATTATATCAGTACAAAAAAAAATCTGATCTTAATAATAGCATAGACTTGGGGGGAGTGCATAATAGATTTATTGCACTTGAGTGAAGAAGATGTGATGGTGGCGAAAGGATTGTATCTCTATACATATCTCATATGTATAAAAGAGCTTACCCATATTTAATAACATTATTAGCTAAATAAATCTAATCAATCAAATAAAATAAAATATTATAATTTTAAACATTCTATTATAATATATTTAAATTATTCACACCACAAACTATATACATGAAATGAAAAATATTGATTTAATAGAATTAAATCTATTTTTAATTGGTTGACTAGAGATTTGATATAATTATTAATTAAATAAAGTAAATTGTTAAGAGATGGAATAAGTAGATTAAATAAGAGAAGACTACAAAATCAAAACAGAAGGAATAATATAAAATATGTAATAAGCAATAGATGTATAATAATTATTTAATAAATAGGAATCATTCAATAGAATTGATGCATAACTTGATCAAATTTTTAATGATAAATTTAGTTTTATTTAGAGATCACCATCTTAATTATAATCAGATTTACCAAAAATTAATACTTTATTTCAATTTTAAAATTACGATTATTAAAAATAAATCAATTAAGAAGTGACTTCTTTAATCAAAACTAATATTCAAAAAGTATTTTAAAAGAAGGATCAATATTATCAAAATTAATAAAAAGAAAATCAAATTAAATGGGAAAATAAAATCTAAGAAAAAGATTATCAGATATAATAATTTATAAATAAATAAACTATTCAATAATCATCAATATCTACTTAATTCAATCTTAAACCATTCACTTATTAATTAATATAACAAAACTCTATTAAATAAAATGAATTGTGTTTTGTGATTGCTATTAATTAAGATTGTTCTATATTAGTTGCTGGATGTGACAGTTAAATTAAAGTATTTGAATTTTAATAAGAAATTATGAAGTAAGTTTAACTTTAAAGTGAACATGGTGGTTGTGTTACTACCTTGAATTTTATGAAGAGATCAGATTAGTTTATATCTGGGAGTAATGATAAATAGATTATTATTTGGAAAAGAAATCAAAGTAATTCATGGATTTCTTAATAAAAATTGAATGGACATACAAGTTATATATGATGTTAATAATAAATAATAATGGAGATCTTATTGTGTCTGGCAGTTGTGATAATCAAATTAAATTCTGGTTGAAATAGAATGAATGGATTTGTTCATAGATAATTACAGATCATAATGTTGGTGTATATGGATTAAGTTTAAATGAATAATAAAATAGAGTGATATCTTGTGGAGATGGTAAATTTATAATAGTAATAGAAGAATAGAATAAATAATGGATTGTAATACAAAAGATTACAGTAGAAATAAATGGATATCGATTATGTTTTATAGATGATAATACATTCACATTCTAACCTTATGCAAAAGAGTATATGCATGTATTTGAGATGAATAGCACAAATAAATATACCAAAACAAAAGATATTCCTGTTAAAGGTGGTTCAGATAGTTGTTCATTTCCTTAATAATATATAAAATCAAAATGTATCCTTGTGAATAAGAATGCTTCAAATGTGAATTTAATAAGGAAGAAATAAAATGGTGAGTTTATTATTGAGTAATCTATTTACTTTGGAACTGGAAGTAATTATGGATATATGACTGATGATGGTCAGTATTTGATTACTTGGGATTATTAAACAAAAGAATATTAGATAGGAAATATTAAGAATTATGAATTATTAAATACTATAAATATTATTGATTAATTAATTTCTAATTAAGTTATTGCATAAGCTCATTGAAGAAATTATAAATACAAATATTCCTATTAAATATTTTAAATCAAAACAAAATTAATTTTATTTCAGTTTAATTATTTTAAAATCTTGAAAATAAAAGATTCTTAAAAAAGATTTACTTTTAACAATAATCATATAGATACTTCAAAGTTGATAATTGATATGGAATAACTTAATTTTAAATTTCAAAGATCATAATTAGAATTTATGGTTACATGAAATATTGAAAAAACTGTCCATGTTATTATTTTATTATGAATTTTTTTATAAGAAGAAAATATTATAATCTTTTTCTAAATCAATATATAAAATATATTTTTTGATGAGTTTAAATATGTAAAATATCTTTAGCAAGTATAAAGAGATCAATAATTATATTTAAATCGTTAGAGTACTCTTAGAAAAAATAGATTATTTAAGCCGAAATCCATAATTAGGATAGCACAAAATAATGTTTGATCATAAAATGGATCGAAAGCTAAATTTAATTATTTAATTCTTATAATCAAAAGTTACATATGTAAATTCTTTATACAAAAAATTATAAGCCTACTAAAGTCAATTCACCTATCCTATAGCAAGAGGCTTTTTCAATTTATTTTTCATTTATTCTTTTATTAAAGTCTTGCAATTATTTTTTTAATAAATATGAATATTTAGATTAAAAGTTTTTCGACTATTACTTAATCCTTCCTTAACCCTAAATATGATATTTGTTACTTATATACATAAATTTAACGACAAACCTCTTTATTGAAGAGTTATTTTGATTTTGCATAAAACTTAATTGTAAACTTCTTATAAAATGCTTTATTTATACCATTTGGTAGTTCCATTAAAGAAAAAGGAGATGTGATAATAAATTAAATTCCTTATTTAAATAATTAATCTTATAGATTGATTTACTAAATTAAGTTTCACTCCTTATAAATTACAGCAATATTATATATTTAAATAATATTTATAGAATAAACTTAATTAAATCCAAAGAAGTTGATCTTAAATGCTCTCAATTT